AAAGAACAATAGTAAAAAAAGCAACATGAACTGGCATAAAAATGTCAGTAAATTTAATTGTGCCAATTAAGACTTTAACAGTTTAATACGCAATAGTGATAATGAATAATTATATAACATCAACAATTATATGTACATCAACATTATTTCAGATGTGATAATCAAACAGTTTAAAAAGGTATAAATAAGTTGGTAGTATCTTTCATGTCTTTATTCGATGTAAATTAAAGATGGTTTCGTGAGTGTTAATTAATTAGGAAGAAATGCATTGAATTTCGAGTTAAAAGGTTTGTATAAATTAAGTTTCCAACAATCTTTTTTTCAGTTCATTTGAATGTTTCTATTGAATACGTTCATCAGTATAATTAATATTTGTTTAGTTTTTTATTAACTTATTTTCAAAGAATATTACTAAGTGTTTGAAAAATTGATAGTGTTTTGTGTTAACCCATTACTTCATATACACGCCTTTTAACGCCTTTTTCACCCCCCCCCCTTTTTTGTTGTCTCAAATGATGAAAATATGCCTTATTTAGGCCCCAAACACTTGTTTTTGTTTGAGAAATGTTGTTAAAAAATGTGACCTCTTTTTCGGCGCGGCCCCCCAACCAAAAGATACATCAGGGGGTTGCCAGAAGGGGGATGTGCCCCCTTCTGTTTGGGGGGTTTGAAGGTGGCGGCAGTCCCCCTCATCGCCAAGAAAATTTTGGACTTGTGAGAGGCTGTAAATGACCCCAGATTGATCATAAGGTAACGTGTAACCAACGCTGAAAAGCATTTGACTCTATCTCAATCCATTGAGAAGTTGCAGCACTTTGGAATCAATTTTGATGGAAAAAATCAACGCAAAATAGTGATTTTTGGCAATTTTGAGATGTCCCCTCGTTGCCATGGTAACAGAAAATTTAAGCCTGAGCATGTTGTTGCAAGGGCAATGGTCCAGTCAACATTTGTGCCAAGTTTGATTAGTGTTGAAGCAGTTTTTATAGTATTATAGCAATTTGAACTTGTAACGGGAGACTTTTCAATGAAAACAGCCATTTTTCACAAAATGCTCATGAAGTAATGGGTTAAATCACTTTATGTCATCATGACTGATAACTGTATTGATTGTTGATATTTTGTGCGTGACAGACAGGAGGCAGTGACCTGCGATACCTGTGATAGATGGCAGCATCTCTATAATTAATCTTACTTAAAAACTGTTCTTGGAAACACTTTAGTGTGCTTTTGGTCATTTTTTTTTTTTTACATACAATAACATAGTAATGATTTGAACACATTAAGGTTTCTTTTTCATGATATGTCAATAAAAAAGTTTAGTTTTTTCTTAATACTGCTATCGTATTTCTATCATTTCTTGATAAGTGTTTATATTTTAAAGCAAAATAAATGATAAAAAAATGGGGCAGGGTTGACCAGAAATAACATTGGTTTGGGGCCGGGTTGACCAATTTGGGGACGGGCTGACTTGCGGCTGGGTTGACTTGGGGCCGGGTTGTCTTGTACCGGTATTGCACATACGGTATGTAACAAAAAAAAAATGATAAAACTAAAGCCATTGACTGTGTTAATTTAAGCAAGGTCATATATTGAAAACTCAAAATATCTTTTATTAATTGAATATTTCAGAGTTAATAATAAGTCTAAGGTGCACATTTACAACTGAAAATGCTTCTAAACATTACTATTCGCTATTTTCATTATCTAATAATTGATAAAATCCTTAAACAAAATATCAGTACATGAATAAAATGATGTTGAAAGAAAATGATGTAACACATTCCTATAAGGAAGGCAAGATCAAATAAAGTATCAAATTGATGCCATTGACAAATCAAAGAGAAAAATACCAAGAGAGAGGCCATTCTTTTGCATAATGCAAAATGTTGCTTTTTCACAGAATAATTGTCAAACAAAATTTACCTAGAGATTTCTACCATAGCATAAGCAGCCTGAATATCTAACAATGATAAAGCTACATGTATCCAGCTAACATACAGAAGTTGTAGTGGTACCTGAGGTATTCCTCCACCAGTATAGCTAAGAAGTCGCCATGTGACCATTACTGTGTTTGGTGACTTATGTGTAGTACTAGTGTACTGTTACTGCTTAATTTTAGCTTTTTGATACTGAATTTCCTAAATTTAACAGAAAGCTGTCTTGGGAGTTCATTAGATAAATTTAACGGGCTAAAGATGAAGAATAAAATGTTTTTTATTTAACAGAGAAGCAGAAAGAGCAAGAATGGAGGAGTATGAAAGAGAAATGAAGGAGATGAAGGACAGAATTAACAGGAGACCATTATTGTTTGAACAGGAATCTCAGGTAAATCATCATCTCTCATACAACTCTATATTATATGTTCTAACACATCACACTTGTCTTCCTGTTAGTTTTACACATGCTGGAAATATTTCCTTGCACAAGGAATACCAGATGCATCTAGTGCTCCAAATTGATGTCATTTTGCGAATTTTATGAATAAATTGTGTGCTAGGATGTTGTCAATTTGCTGTTAAGAACTTTTATAATAATAAAATAGTAATTGAGGAATTGACATAAATTTCCATGGTATAAATATATTTGGCTATGGCAAGTACCCAAGAAATGGATGTTACAATCCAAACTGCAACACATATCTTGAACAGTATAATCCTTCTTAGAACTCCCAAACAGTTTTTAGACAGGCTGATCTGCATAACTTTGTGAGATATTGATTTTATCATCGTGTATATAATATTTCTTTCAAATAAAAATTGAAAAGGATAGTTGATAACAAAATTATAAAAAATTGTATCATTTTTGAATTATTAAAATTTTTTAGGTAAATGCTAAAAAGAAGGCAGAGAAGAAATTTAATGCCACTTTGAGAAGTGTTGGCCTTGATGAAGAATTTGTTCAGAGTCGAGGCTCTAGGTCAGCAAGCGTTCATGATTACACTGATGATTATGATGATGATGATTTTGAGGATACTGCAATGAAGCGCCAGGACGACACCTACACAAAGCGACGCACATCTGATGGTTCTCTCTCACCTGTTGAAAGTTGAAAAGACTTGAGTTGTATTTGATTAGTTCAGAATGTACTAGTTCAGTTACTGGCATTTCATGGTATTTTAAGTGTACATGTTTAAGAGAACAACACATCAAGTCACATATGTTTCTTTAAAGTAGAAGATATAGACATTTTACTTCCTTAGTTGTTATTTATAAACTAGATTCATTCAAATCTTTGAAAAAAAATGTTTATATTTTGTGGTTTTTAAGTTCTGTTATTAAATTGGTGTAACAATTTACTCATTTGACCATTTGATTAGACTATATTCATATGTGGAATGAACATCCGTAAAGTGATATTTCTAACTCAAGTTTTACATATGGCAGCAGTCCCATCATATATTGAAATGTTGTTCTCCAGAATAAAAGGGTACAAATAAACTACATAATTGCATTTTTCTGTCAGTGAGACATATTGTTTACTTGAACAATTACAGCAGAGTACTTCATGTTTTGTCATTCACAATTGTTTATTTTTATACATTAAAATTGACATGTTTTATCATAATTTGCATTGAATTCAGTTACTGAAAGCTGAAAAAGTTATGAGTTAGTAATTTATTTGATGTAATTGTATAGTTGTTAAGCATGATCATTACGTTTATTTAATTTTTTTACTGGTAATGTTTTTTATTAGAGCCCTAAGTAGTATGCATTTCTTTTTACAAAGGATGATATCAAATTTTTAGCACAAAATATGTCTTTGAAACATACCAAATTAATTTTGCCAGTGTCAAGTAGCATTCAATCATTTTATATAATATGTTATTTTATATAATATGTGACTCAAACTGGCTTTCAACAAAACTGATGATTATTATTTATGGATAAAATCATTATTTTAATGTTAGTTTTTCCTCTACTTTTAAATATTGAAGTGGGTGCTGATAGGAAACAATATGGTGATAGGTTATAAGTCATGTATTAGCACATAGGTTGATATTCCAGTAGTGCCAATGATTTATTCTAAACCTATATACATGTATATACAGTTTGCTGCTTTACCTCAACTTTCTGTCCCTAGAATGCCCTTCACCACAAGGCCTTGGTGCATGATGTAAATATGTTTATGTTATTTATTGCTGATCATGCTATTTCCCAATGATAGTCACATTTTGTATAAATGTTATAACAAGGCAAACATAATTTTATCACATAAACCGCGGCGCAGTAGTGTAATAAAGCCATTTAATAAAAACGATATTACACTAGTGTAAAAACACTTTGACGTGACGTCATTTGCGCTATATATAAACATAGTGTTAAAGCGCGCTAATGTTAGCATTACACTATAGGCGCATCATTGAAAAATTACTCATTTTTTAACAGTTTACTGTTCTTATTTTATATATGTGATAAATAGAATATTATATTGGTGTAGATTCAATACTAAATTTATTGAACTCGTTGAATAAAACATTATTATGCTCGCCAGAGGCTCGCATAATATGATTTTATTCAACTCGTTCAATAAATTTAGTATTAAACTACACTCATTCAATATCCTCTTTGTATCTACCTTCATCCTATATTATTATTCTGTTTGATATTTTATCTTTAAATTAACTGTAGTGATTGCTTAACAGAGCTTTAACTTTCATACTTTCATTACTAGTAACACAGTCTTCATATGTTTCTTTATAAAAACTACAGCAGTGCCTGATTGATTCTTTTAGTTTCTTTAATGAATATTAGATCACAGTAAACTTACTAGTGTATAACATTTTTATATATTTCATACTAATAATCAAGAATCTTTTATTAATATATGTTATGTTACCTAGGTTAATGGGAACCCATTTCTCTACTTACTTTCTAATTTAACACAATTATCTACATGTAGAATTTTAAAATAATGTGCTTATGTAGTAAATTGTATTATTTTGCATAAAGTGTAGATAATCTACTATGTACAGCTTTCTACAAGATACACCATCTCTGTCAAGCTTTGTTAAATGTTTTACTTCAAACTGTTTTATAATAAATATTTATAACTACTGTTTTATATATTCTGTTTCATTTACAGACATGGTTTGAAATCCTCTAATGCTGTTGTAGCAAAAATGTATCAAAAAGCATTGAAATAAGGAAGTAGTCCTTGTCATTAATTAAATAACAGAATGTAACTGGAATCTAGTTTTGTAGAAAATGATAGATTTTTTGCGAGTATTCCATTGTATATAAATTATTATTAAATAGTGTATATCACTAAAGGAAATATTAGCTAATTAAAATATTTTGCAAGTTATAAGTCTTAAAACAGAGTTTTATGTATTGGAAGTTATTTGTAATTATAATGTATGATACTTGAGTTGAGGTAGTTGTTTCAGATTTCTGTGATATTAGTTTTGTGATATTAGATTGTTATACATGTACATGACAGATACCTTAAGACATTATATATTATTATGTACTTAATAGCATTGACAAATGTTTTTCTGTAAAGTCATCTAAATATTTTAAATGTCAAGTCATTTCATGGTTGACCAACTAAAACTGATAATTCCTGATAGCTCTAATGGCACAAGTGACAGTCATTTTTGATGTCATTATTTGACAAAATATGAAAATAAGCAAAGTTAACAGATGCTTTAGACGTTTGTTAAATTCTTGAACATGTTTGAAGAAATGTTGTTTTTTGCACCAATATCAAAACATATTTTGAAGATGAAAATATTGTGAGTGATCTTTTATCACAAGCATATAATATATTGGGAATGCCCCTTAAAGTGACAATAAGGGAAAATAAACAAAATGATAGCAGGGGAGTTAATTATGTAAAAATTGTTTCCTTTGTCATATGTACCTGTACAAGACTATTTATTTTCCATTTTTTCTTTTGTTATGATCTTAAAAATTGGGCTTACTTACAAGTCATTTGTTATGTCTGTTTTGCTTCTTAAGTCTCTTTCTATACTTCTCTTTCTTGTATAGAAGCAAACATTTCAATAAACCTATTTAATATTAACATAGATGCCATGGTTTTCAACATGTGTTTACAGGTACGGACGGTATTCAAATGTAACCTAAGTACTATATAGTCTTTATATTAACATTAAAGATTGGTTAACATTGTAATAACACTTCTTAAAGCATAAAATCAATATGTTTATTGAAACCAGTGTCACTGGAGAATATTGATGGGGTTATGAATTAACAAAAAACTTGATATGTGTACATGTATTTTATTAGTTTAATAAATAAGCTAGAAAGACAGCTTTTGTTGGTTATATGTAAAATGCAGAATGTTTCTATTTAATTATCTATTTTATTTATAAATCCATATCATTCTTAAAATACAAGTGTTATACATGCATGAACAAATACCTATTCAATTTTCACTACAACTTTGCCTTTTGTGTCGCCTGCTACAAAGTATTTATTGCCGGCGACATATAGGGATCACCTCTCCCATCAAAACTTGTCCAGACTACTCCTCAAAACTAATGGTGCAGTTTCATCTAAACTTTACAGGAATGATCAGTGCCAAGTCTAATTTTCCAGTTTTATGATTTTTTTCAGAGTTATTGTCTTTGTATATTTTTTTAAAAGTTTTGTCTAGACTCAACTCTTTTACTACTATTGCAATTTGAGTGAAACTTTACAGGATTAGGAATAGACTGTAACAAGCCTGGTTCTATATAGACAGACCTGGTTCTATATTGACAGACCTTGTACTATATTGACAGACCTGGTTCTATATAGACAGACCTGGTTCTATATTAACAGACCTGGTTCTATATTGACAGTCCTTGTACTATATTGACAGACCTGGTTCTATATTGACAGACCTGGTACTATATTGACAGACCTTGTACTATATTGACAGACCTGGTACTATATAGACAGACCTGGTTCTATATTAACAGACCTGGTTCTATATTGACGGACCTGGTTCTATATTGACAGACCTTGTACTATATTGACAGACCTGGTACTATATAGACAGACCTGGTTCTATATTAACAGACCTGGTTCTATATTGACAGACCTTGTACTATATTGACAGACCTGGTACTATATAGACAGACCTGGTTCTATATTAACAGACCTGGTTCTATACTGACAGACCTGGTTCTATATTGACAGACCTGGTACTATATTGACAGACCTGGTTCTATATTGACAGACCTTGTACTATATTGACAGACCTGGTACTATATTGACAGTCCTGGTTCTATATTGAAACACCTGGTACTATATTGACAGACCTGGTTCTATATTGACAGACCTTGTACTATATTGACAGACCTGGTACTATATTGACAGTCCTGGTTCTATATTGAAACACCTGGTTCTGTATTGACAGACCTTGTACTATATTGGAAGACCTTGTTCTATATTGACAGACCTGGTTCTATATTGACAGACCTGGTTCTGTATTAACAGACCTGGTTCTATATTGACGGACCTGGTTCTATATTGACAGACCTGGTTCTGTATTAACAGACCTTGTTCTATATTGACAGCCCTTGTACTATAATGTCAGACCTGGTACTATATTGACAGACCTGGTTCTATATTGACAGACTGGGTTCTGTATTGACAGACCTGTTCTATATTGACAGACCTGGTTCTAAATAGACCTGGTTCTAAATAGACCTGGTTCTGTATTGACAGACCTGGTTCTGTATTGGCAGACCTGGTTCTGTATTAACAGACCTTGTTCTATATTGACAGCCCTTGTACTATAATGTCAGACCTTGTACTATATTGACAGACCTGGTTCTATATTGACAGACTGGGTTCTGTATTGACAGACCTGTTCTATATTGACAGACCTGGTTCTAAATAGACCTGGTTCTGTATTGACAGACCTGGTTCTGTATTGGCAGACCTGGTTCTATATTGACAGACCTGGTACTGTATTTGCAGACCTGGTTCTGTATTGACAGACTTGGTTCTATATTGACAGACCTGGTACTATATTAACAGACCTGGTACTGTATTTACAGACCTGGTTCTGTATTGACAGACCTGGTTCTATATTGACAGACCTGGTACTATATTGACAGACCTGGTACTGTATTTGCAGACCTGGTTCTATATTGACAGACCTGGTTCTATATTGACAGACCTGGTTCTATATTGACAGACCTGGTTCTGTATTAACAGACCTTGTTCTGTATTGACAGACCTGGTTCAATATTGGCCGACCTGGTTCTATATTGGCAAACCTGGCTCTGTATTGGCAGACCTGGTTCTATACTGACAGACCTGGTACTACATTGACAGACCTGGTACTGTATTGACAGACCTGGTTCTATATTGACAGACCTGGTTCTGTATTGATGGCAACTGCTAATCACTCTTTTTTGCAACAGGTTAAGAGTAAAAAAATCCAGGTTTGAATGTAGAAGTAATAACACATCTAACATTGTAATATAGTGATTAATCCATTTGAAAGACGCATATGCAGTGTAATTTATATAGAATGTAAATACAGCAGACTGGTGGAATACAAAGTTACTATGGAAACATAAATAGAATGTACCACTGATCATACAAAAGTAAATTTAGTACATTTACAAAACAAGTGTTATTATTTTGTGTATGTAATAAACAACATAATATTATAAATGTACAATTCATACTACATCAAATATATCTGTTAAGCATGCACATAACAAATATTTAGCGGTAGCATCACACGGTTCTCGTTAAGTCATATAAGTCATGCCCCCAGGGTAAAAATTGATACCATCCAGGGCTCACTTAGTTAACAAAAATAGAAAAACTAGCACATATATATATTTCATGTAACCATCTGATAAATATAGATTGAAACAATGCTATAACTTCATATCAAAGTTTACTATATAACCAAAATGTTTTGAACATAATGATATATGAAGAAATGAAGTTAAAACTGTCAAACCTATGATGTATGTATTACACAAGTGTAATTATAATATACATTCCTGGTCAAACTGACCAAAATATAACTTGTAATTCAAATGCATAGAAATGTACAAAATAATACAAAAATTGATAATAAAAACATTGATTTTTCAATAAAGTAAAGTAAGTTCAACTTGTTCAGATGTAAAAAAAAAAGCAGAATAAATGCTTGTATACACTTTGAAATAATTGTTTGGTTTGACAAATATATGGCAATCCATTGCGGTAGCTAAAAGGGTTAATAATTTAATTTGCCAAAAATGACTTGGACATTTGATATGGTAAACTAAAATATGTATTTTTTTCATATATGTGCATTTACATGTTTTCTTTGATGAAGGTATTTATGTGTCTGTACGGAGCCATTTGCTGCTGGTTCAATGTAGTTGCCATTAGTTACCACATCACCATTGCCAATGTGACCATTGACTGCACCATTGCTTTTTGAATTTGCAATAGATTTTGATTTATTGTATGTCTTTATATAAAAGTTGAGAAATAGGGCAGCAATAGTAGTTGTAAATCCTTGAATGAACGCCACATATTTCCAGGGATAAGTGCAGTCTATAAATAACAGCTGGGAGTTGTGAATTGTAACAATGAAAAATTGTGCCTGAAATATTAAAATATGTTCATTAAGGTCCTGGGTCAATTCACCATTATGCACAATACTTAAGATTACATCTAAATCCAGTGATATTTGGTTAAATAATAACATGATTAAGCAACGTATTCTAAATGGAAATTGTACATGTACATATAAAATGTGCTGGAACATTGAAACATGATTTTTTAAAAGTAAATCATGTTCGAAAAGATCAAAATACCATTTGTTTTTATGAAAATGTTTGCATGTTTATACTAAGCATTTCAATGTGACAGTAAAAAAGGCTTCCTTGATTTTTTTTCTACAGGAAAATTGTTAAAATTTTGATGTTATATTTTACAGACAATAAGACATTTATTTCAAATATAGTAGAACTGACCAACACTTTGGTACACACTGTAATAGGCTATTAAATGTAATATTAAAATCTCTATCATTTCCTATAATATGAACAATGTCGCTATACATTTAATTTACCAACCATGTCACTTTTCTTTCAACCTGCACTGTTAACTTACCAGTCATATTTTAACTCTTTTCTATCATCTTAGCTTCCAATAAATGTGAATGTGCTATGCCACTACTATCAACTTACCAGCTGGAATATTGTTACATATCGCTTCCACCACAGGTACTTTTGATACTTTGGTCCTAACGCCGCCATACCGTAATAAAAATACATGACAACATGGACACAGCAATTTACCAACCCATGGAATGTACCAAAACCCCCTGCAATGTCAATATTTAATATATATAATGTTATGTTATAACTTATGTACATGTGTAATTATGTAATATACATGTATAAAATATTAGTCTTTTCCACCTGAAATTGATGTTAACCAGTTACATGGAAGGGCTTGTTAATGTTTATGCAATATTGTGCGAAGCTCATTAGCATGTAGAACATGACATTTTATAGTAATCTGTGACTTATCTTCGAAGATTGAAAGTGATGGCTGGTTGTAATTTCATCTTCTGAAATCCATATAAGAGCTCATAACGCCCATACTGGTACCTTTACATAAAAATTGCATGCTCTCTTACATCTCGTTAGGAGTTATCTTGGAGATTGCAAAGATGAAATAACATTCAATCGTCACCCTTCCATGTCAATTTACGTCGGATATAGATTCAAAGTTAAATACATGAACATTCTGTTTAAAATGCTATGGCCTTTATAAATATGTATAAATAGATGGCTTCATTAATATGCTATCACAATCGGTGATATTGATACAGGCACAAATACACGGGGGAGGAAGTGTTACACGAAAGATGGAGTTCTTATGATAACTTGTTCAGGAGTTCTTGTGATAACTGTCACGGAGTTCGTCGGAAAACATCTGTATATACTACAAAAACACTCGTCAAAAATGGTTATTTTCATCGTTCAAAAATGAGTTTAGGTGCTAAATTAAACTTTAATGATTAAGCTTGTCTTACATCTTGTATTATGTGTCAAAAACTAATTCACAGGCCATTTTTCATCGCCTCTTGCTTCAAATCTGGTAGTTTTCAGTAAAATTTCCAAATTACTTGCCAATTCACAAGTTTTGACCGGTTTATTTCTGGTCTTCATCCTTGCCATACATAATTACCTAATTATAATGCAAAATTGCAAACATAAAGCACCGGCTAACAGATTTATACCCGATTTTTCAAATGTCCCGGAGTTCTTGTGATAACTCTGAAGATGTCACAGAGTTCTTATGATAACTTTTGTTATTGCCAGTGTGTTTCTTGCGCTAAATCACGGCACGTTTTAGCGTTTATTATCATTCAATAAGATTGTAAATCATTATGAAATACAGTGAAATATATTATCAAAAGAAATCCAAGTTTTGAACTATATTTGGATTTAAAAGAGATGTGTGTCTACAAAAAAGCAAAATATGACATACTTAAAGATGGTATAGGTTAAATGAGGCAAACTACAGTTTTATGCAACTATACCTGGTACAGATTTTACTCCCCACCACCAGAACATTGGCAAACAACCGTGATGAAACACGTGCAGAAATGTCACCTGACTGTTCTTTTTACGTAAGATAAAAAACACCTGTAAAAATTAAAAATTAATGTCTTCACTTAATTGAAGTGACAATGAAGACTAAGTCATTTAAAATGACCAAGTTTCATATTGATATTTTTTATTAGTACATGTATTGGCAAATTGAAAATTATGAAACATAAATTTAGATTTCATAAACAAATGTACATGTCTGTATTAGACTATTTACACAAGCCCGTTAGGACCATCGCGACACATACAAAACTCGACACAACGACGATGAAATGGGGGAAAGTGAGAGGTACGATGATGAAATTGTTGAAATTCGATAAAATTTCGATTTTCACCATCGTACTTGTGACCTTTCACCATTTCGACTTATATTGACTTATTTTGCATTGAAGAAGTAGCAGTGTTATATGTGTCACTGGGTCATGATTTAGTTTCGTGCTTGTTGAAAATTTTATATACGTAACAAACATGCTATTTAAAGAGTTCAAATCAATAAGAAAAAAATTAAATCATATAAGGAAACTATTGGTCCATAAATGAAATCATTTTATCTTAATCCAGAAATATTGTTGCCACATTCACGCAGTCTTTTCGTCACCTTTCTATTTCAAAATAAAACAAGCAATTATCATAGTATTGCAAGCAATCCATAAGTCCCCTACCGGTAAGAGCCCAAGCAACATTCTGAAGGGCCATTGGCCATTCACTTAGGTTCCTATTTTAAGTAAATTTGTTGAAAAAGTTCTTTAAAAGTGATCACAGGAAACAGTTTTTATGTACAGACAGACGGACTGAAGGACACTCTAAAGTTATTTTTTAAACATCCCTGTTATCAAAATATAACATTTTTAAAATCCTATCATGATTGAAGAAGTTGGAGTAAAAATTACCAATTTCTCAAAAAAAAAGTCTAAGTTCAAAAGGGGCATAATTCTGGAAATAGTCTTGCTAGAGTATTGAACACTCACAAATGTTGAGTGATAATAAGAAACATTTATATGAAGTTTGAAGTAGATACATTCAGAAAAAGAAGTTATTAAAAAAAAACAATGTTTTTTTCATGAAAATTTTAAGTTCAAGGAAGGTAATTCTGATAAATTTTGTGCTAGAGTTGTGAACCTTGTCACATATGATGTGGTTGATGACAAGCAACTTATATTTAAAGTTTGAAGAAAATACTTAAGAAATAAAGAACTTATAGTGAAAAAACTTAAAAACTAGAATCAGAAATCTTGAAATTCAGTCTATTTGTTGCCATAGCAACCAGAATTTTCAACATAGGAAGATAAGAAAAGGATGTGCATAATTTCCATACTGCCATCTACCCATATGTCGAGTTTCATAAACATATTTTCAGTACTTTTTGTGTTATCACTGGATCCAGGTTATGTGTAAAATTTGCCATATTTTCAATCTATTTGTTGCCATAGCAACCAGAATTTTCAACATAGGAAGAAAAGAAAAAGACGTGCATAATCTCCATACTGCCATCTATCCATATATCAAGTTTCATAAAAATATTTTCAGTACTTTTTGCGTTATCGCGGGATCCAGGTTATGTGTAAAATTTGCCATATTTTCAGTCTATTTGTTGCCATAGCAACCAGAATTTTCAACATAGGAAGAAAAGAAAAAGACGTGCATAATCTCCATACTGCCATCTATCCATATATCAAGTTTCATTAAAATATTTTCAGTACTTTTTGCGTTATCGCGGGATCCAGTTTTGTGGACGGACGGACTGACGGACGGACAGACTGACGGACGGACGGACAGACGGACAGACGGACGGAGGGTAAACCTAAAGTCCCCTCCGGTAAACCGGTAGGGGACTAATAAACTTTATATTGATAATGTGCAGCGTTGCGTAGAAACAAAATTTGCTTAAATAATACAAAAAGTGCGTTATGTATATATACCGTATCCATCAGCTCTACAAACTTCGCAATAAAAAACAGCCACACTGCCCCTGCCATCTGAAAAATTCCAAGTACAACAATTGATACATACACCGGAAAAATGGGACTATAGATTATTGGTCTATAATGGGAGGTCTGTATTACAATTTATGTACATAATGACAGAATTTAATATCAGACAAAACAATTTAGGATAGAATTATACAATATGTTTATGAATGTTATTGGCAAGTGTGAGAAATATGATTCGATATTACATATATTCATATAGCGGATAATAAATTGTTCTAGAACATGATAGTATTATTCATATTAAAATGTTCAGGATATATTTAAAAAGAATATCTATATGATACATATCTATTTTTTTCATCAATATTTAAATACGTATGAAAAAAATTTGCTCATAGTAAGCCTTTTCACTTAAAATGCCTAACTATTATCATGAATTGTGAAGAGCTATTAATAAAAAAAAAAAAACTCGAAATCAACGATACATATGTAATGCAACCCACAATGTACACTACAAAGTGGTATGGCTCAGTTCTAACATTACCATCGACAGCACCGATATCTCTTATCAGAACGTTATGTGACAATAACAAAAAGCCTGAACTGTGGGACTGTCATATCCCAATTTTATGAATTTTCCCAAGGAAAGAGCGATCACCTGAGTAAAACATAAGTAAGAACGCTTACTTTCACTCTTGACTTGGCTGACAAGTGAGGTTCAATGATTAATTTTGATATTTCGATGGTATTGAAACTAAACATTTTCAAAAAAAATAAAACAACAATTTCATTGATAAAAAATTCTTCTTCCTATATTTACGATTACTGTTTAAATGGCGTAAAAACATATCAAAACTAATTTTTTTAACAAATGTCATGTAAAATTAATTACCCGTAGAGCGGTCGGTGAATTAGAATAATCCACAGTCTGACAGCCAAAAGAATATTCGTACATCCAGCCTCCTAGTAGAAACTGAAATACATCATTGCATGTAAATAAACTTTCATAAAACAAACAACAATTACAGTCAAATCTGTCGAAAAGACCAGTGTAGGGAAATGGTCGAAGTCTAAGCAACAGGGAAGACCTTATACCCCCTGCGTATTGTCTTACTAAAAAACTGCTTTCGATCAGAACAAGTGTTATAATGTGAAATATTATTATAAAATGAAAAGCTGCTGGTCTCTAAGATAAAATGTTTTTATGGAAACAATCTTTAGTACATTTATAACTGCAAAACGTTTAATTTACATAATATAGACAAAACATAATTGTATTCAGGAAACACATAGATTTTTTATCACAACACTATCAGAAGTAGAATATTAAATTTGTATAGGATAAGATATTTTGTGCATAAAAAGTGACGCTATTTGATTAAGTCTTCCGGTTTACGAAGACATAGCTGTTGTCAAGAAATATCCACCACATGTATAACGTTAATTAAAAGTATGAAAAAACAAACAATACCTACCTCGCGGACTATATATGCACACAATATCATCAATGAGAAGTTGTAAACTACAAGAACATTTTGTAAATGGAACGGCTTTCTTTCTTCCATCCATTTTGGTCCGTAATATACAAACAATAGATAGGCTATCACAATAAGAGTGGGCAGTATTGGGTCACTCATAAAAAGCCAATCTTTTACTCGAGGATCTGAAATTATGCGACATTCATTACGAATATATATGACAGATAGTATGTAAAAATTGGTATACGATTATTACAAATTATCCACGATTTATCAGTTATCATTATAACTGATTGAAAACGTTACCGTGTTGCAAGAATACAGTACGTCAAAGGTTCTACTCAGGTGTTCGTTCGTGCCAGAATTATGCAGGATAAGGCATCTGATGTCTGCTTCCACCATTAAAGCTGGAAAGTCATACATGAGCTCTGCTGTATTGGTGCGAAGTGTCTCCCCCCCCCACCCCCCAAAAAAAACAACAAAAACAAAAACAAAAAAACCCCAACAAACAAACAAAAAACACATACATGTAGTTTAAAAACGAATAAAATAAGGTTTAAGCTCATCATAAGTGTGCATCAATCAAGGAAGGATTTAAATGAGGCGAGAATAACACTTATGCGAGGAAACTGATAACGCAAAGATAACACTTAGGAAAAAATAATGATCACGCGAGGATACTAATCGCGTGAGGATATCAATCACGCCAGTATAGCACTCATTAAAAGGTATACTATAGAAATGATCATTTGTATAAATACTAGTATAACATGTCTTACTCGTCTCCTATTCAAGTTTGAACCTTGCAAAGAATTTACATATTTTGTGTTAATCTTACATTTGTCATTGGTTAGGAATTACATTTGCTTTATTGAACAACATATAAATTAGCTAACATAGTTGTATCATTGTGTGCACGTGAATCTCGAGGTTGTGTGGGAGGTATGTTTGACCTTTCCGGTGTTTACGGTTTTATGTAAATTGGCTAACTTGTTATGCAATCGTTACACTGAGATAATACATAGTCACTGATTGACATGGTTTGCACAAAAGAACACGTGCTTCTGTCTGTGATACTGTTTGTGAGCTTTTGACCCAGCAATGAATGGAAAAGGTGTGGCTAAATGTTCCGCTACGAAAAATCGGAAAGATCCATATAGTCTTTCCGATGTCAATACGATTGCCTTGCATTATGAGGTTCCATTGGGGAAACATATCCGCTACAACTTTGCCATTCATTATGATTTTGGCAGGGTACACGATGCCAACCTTGCTTTCACGATACTCTTCCCTTAACTTTTTTTCGGGAGACAAAGATAGCTTTTCTTCCAAAACGCAGATTTAATACACGAACGCGAACTTTCGCTGAAATCACTATTAGGGTCAAATAACATACATGTTTTAAGGAGCCTCGTGAAATTCGTTAATTCTATTACAAAAACTTTTCAATAATCCTAATGCCTCCATCAGTAATTCAAGATTTCATCTAATATTTCTCACTTGTTAATTTGTTTGTTTCCTTTAAATTGCGTGTTTATTTTTTTCTCAACTTTTTCTTTGTATATAATTTCCTATTCACAAATGAAGTTATTTTTTCATAAAACAGATGTCTGTTATTTTTAGGAATACAAGTACATATTATCTATATGTAAAATTTATAAATTGCCATTACTCACATTTAACTGACAAAGTCTTATCCAACATAGTCCCATTGGTTCATATTTCGATTTTCCCCAATGCACGTAGTAATACATTATAAATCTATGAATGACATTGATAACTGTTATGCACGACTTTCACGTGCAGATTTACTACATGCTTGTGCTAATGTTTTATACCTAATATCGTGCTATACATACATACATGTGCGTATTGTGTTGTATACCTGTTTAAATTATTACAATAGACAACCTCCTTATTTATTTTTTTTCAAATGTAGTGACACGTAGAATAATAAATTAATGGTGTATATCGATTTAAAGTAAACAAATCCCTGCTCGATATTTCATTCCATAATTTAGAAAAGACATTTGTATTTTTTTTTCTAATTTAGTTTTAAAGTTTTTTTGTGTTTTTTTTTTCTCTTTGGCAATGTACAGTGTTAAATGATTATATACTTTTTTGTTCGTACCGGAACTATGCATTCTCTGTTATATAAAAATTGTGTTATGCCCCCATATTGTATTGAAAAATGCTTGGGTGAAAATAAAGATAATGTTCTGTTCTGTTCTGTTCAGCTAACATAGTTTGTGTAAAATGTACAATAAACATTTAACATATGACCACATGTGAAATTAGACTGATGGTAAATTAGAATTACATGTATCAGTTACCAATCTGCTTCCCGTAAACTCTTACAATAAAGTTGTACCAGCATACATGTTCGTCACTACAAGAAGGCACGAATTCACATTTTAAGGCATGTTAACCACGTGTCCAACATTCACGTGAACGTTTTACAACATAATGTCTCACTGATACTATATGCCTTGTATAGACAAGCTTATCATACCTTCACATTAATCTAATTTAATGAATACCATATGTAGTTAGTGTCTTAGGTCATGTTAAATTTTTGAAGATGTAGCCTCATATCTTAGCAACGCAAGTTATACACTATATGTTATATGACGGTGATATTTGAAACATTTTTGTTTCTATCATTTAATGTGATATATCGACAACTGTCTGCTTACTTATATCTACAAATGCATCTCAACCTATCCATTACAGAATTTTTATGTATATGTCAGTGAACTCTATTCGCCCCCCCCCCCCCTTCTAAGTGATCTAAACATCTTAAAAGTATCCGTTCACTCACGACATCCTACTAACATTATTAAAACTATACATGTTAACATATAAATTAAATCTGATTGTCTTTTGGCTT